TTGTATGGCCCAGCTCATAGGAGATGCCCACAGGTTATATGGTTAATAATAGAAGTGTGCATAGATGAAAACTGACATTTTTTCAGAATTCTCATATTATATCATGTTATAAAAACTTGGCATAGAGTATCCATCATCACTCCAAATTGTAGAATGGTATCACTTAAACACATTTCACAAAAGAGAGAAAAAAATCCTAGAGAAACCAGCTTTGTAACTTGCCCAAAGACATGGCATGACTACACATGGGCTCCAGGATCTAAGCCCACAACTGCATGAGTCTAAATCCCATCACTGCCCACTGCCCAGCCCTGCCTGCCCAGGAAGTCATTTACTACACTAACTCACAGCATCCTTTCAAGTCAGTGGACAGGAAACCTTAAAATGCTACCAAAGAGATAAACGAAGATTAATTCATAGATTTCTACTACAGTAAATTTGTAAACTTGGACTAATTTAGCGAGGTAATTCTTATTTTTTAAAACACTGAAACTTTGAGTGGTCAACAAACACATGAAGAAAAGCTCAACAGCACCGATCATAAGAGAAACGCAAATCCAAACCGCAGTGAGATACCATCTCATGCCAGTCAGAATGGTTATTATCAAAAATTTAAGAAACAACAGATGCTTGCAAGATTGTGAAGAAATAGGAACACTTACACTATTGGTGGGAATGTAAATTAGTTCAACCATTTTGGAAGACGGTGTGGTGAGTTCTCAGAGATTTAGAACTGAAAATACTACTTAATCCAGAAAACCCATTACTGGGTATATACCCAAAGGAATATAAATCATTCTATTGTAAAGATACATGGACAAGTGCATGTTCATCGCAGCACTATTCACAATAGCAAAGACATAGAATCAACTGAAATACCCATCAATGATAGACTGGATAAAGAAAATGTGGTATGTATACACCATGGAATACTATGCAGTCATAAAGAGGAATGAGGTCACATCCTTTGCAGGAACATGGATGAAGCTGGAGGCCATTATCCTCAGCAAACTAACACAGGAACAAAAAGCAATATCACATGTTCTCACTTATAAGCAAATACCACATGTTCTCACTTGCATTGCTTTTTGAGAGCAATATTGCTTAGTGATTTATGCATTTGAACAAAAAGATTAGAAAAATGTTTTTGAAGATGAGGTGATTATGAAGTTTCGTATTTTAAACTGTACACTGCAGGTATGAATCTCCTCCAGTGTGTTTGAGGAAGGATAGCACATATTTACTTTCATACTTCATTCTGTGCATCTACTTTAGCCTCTCACCTACTAGGTTGGTGGGAAAACCACTTGAGACAGGTCTTTTGAGGTGAGTATCCTCTTCTCTTTGAGACTTTGCAAAATGTAAATATTGAGTGAGGAGCTGCTTACACCGGACAGAAACTTTTGGAAAGGCCTCTGGCCTTACAGCTGAACAACAAGAACACATGGACAAAAGGACTGGCATGACACTTTCTGGAGCCTGTTGAGGGAGGGAAGAGGGGGAGAATATTAGAGAAAAGAGCTGATGCATGCTGGGCTTAATACCTAGGTGATGGGTTGATAGATGCAGCAAATGACTGATACACGTTTACCTATATAACAAACTTGCACATACTGCACATGTGCCCTGGAACTTAAAAAAAAAAAAAAAAGAGATGAGATATTAGTACACTTCCCTTCAAACTTGATACTTTAATGGAAAAAGATGACGGGTTAGGAAGGACTGACTCCTAGGGGAAGTATTGCTTCTACTCCAACTTTGATGGTTCCAGGACAGACAGATAGGATATGAAACTGTCTTCACCTTGAAGTATAAGGAGGAGAAGAAGAAGCGATAAAGAGGAGTAAAAACAAAAAGAGTAAAGGAGGGAGGAAGCACAAGGCAGAAGGAATAGAGGAGACACAATCATAATCACAACAGTGATGAGAGCACAAGGTCACGCTGCTGGGTTTTGCTTTGTATGTTGGAAAATACTGTCACATCCAATTTATCTGGAGCCATGTGTCATTATTGCAGTCCCCAAATTGTCAGGGGACCCCAAATCATTGCCTTCTCTGTTTCTACAAACAGAGCACAGGCTGGCTGGCTTCCCCTTGGTGCATGCTAATGTGTCCTGGTCCCACGCCAGGTTGACATGTTGCTTCATTCCTGGGAGGGACTAAGGTGCCGCCCTGGGGAAAAAATAAAGCAGTGCTGGGTGCTCTCCTATTGTGGCAGAGTTAAGAGAGCAAATGGACAATATTCTAGAGCCATTAGTCTGAAATCACTGGACTTTAATTGATTCTGGGAATAACAACAGGGAAGCATTGCACGATTTTGAACCAAGAAAGTTGAAATAGTGTTGGCTATGTCCCTCTAGTGAGAGCACTTCCTTTCTGGAGTGTCCTCTTTAGCAAGGATACACAGAATTGGGTTTCTCCAGGTTTCGGAGGTCAGAAGAATTTGCACCTTATAACAAGAAACGTCTTTTTGCTGAGCAAGGTATCAAGTGCAATAAACTGTATCTAGAAACCCACAGTGAGGATCACCCGATCAGTTTCCTGGTCCATCTCACATGTGATCCTCACTGTGTGTTATTTTTTCTGCTTCTTCATGCACTTCTTCCACAATTCATAAAACACTTAATTCAACCTGCTGTGAATGTTACAGGGTAACTGCTAGAGGGGTAGAAAAAGAGCCAGCAAAAGAAAGATTTTTGATTTTGACTAATTGAGGGTCTTTGTTCACGTAACGAGGCCACCTTTTTGCTAGCTAGGCCAAATGGAAACAGCAATGGCTGTCACCCCACACTGCAGTTCAATAGCTAAGGTTCTGCCTTCTTTTTTTCACCACTGCAGCCTGGGTTTGGTTCCTAAATCAAGCCCTTTCTAGTTTAATACTTGGTACTTCGGAAATATCCACAATTTTTTGTAGTTAATTTATGGTAATGAGATTTAAAAAGATTTTTTCAAAGGAGCTTTGTGTTTAAAAGTCAGCATAATTAAAAGCTAACATCGAAGATACGTGTGTGTGTGTGTGTGTGTGTGTGTGTGTTTGGTGTGTGTGTGTTTATTTAAAAGGCCGTCATGTTTTTGTTTTGTTTTCTCTCCTAGGACCTTGTCTTTTCTGAGCAAAGGTTATTTTTTTTTCAGTTGACTGAATTCTGTTTTCTTCATTGACTTCTGCTGTCTCTCCTTTCTCTTGCCAGCCTCTGCTGCCTGAGGACCTAAAATAGTTTATAAGAGCCTGGGTTTCCTTAAAGAAAATGGAGAAGGTGCCAGACTCCTTTTTGGGAGAACCTGTTTTTCCTCATGGAACCCCAGGAGTGTTGTAGACGAAGTTTGTCTCAGCTTTTAAACTGCTTACTTTTGTATTGTGTTACATAATTTTTTGACGAAAAGAGTTATTGCAACAGAGGCTACTCTTGCATTTTTAAGGAAGAGTGTAGTTTAGACACTTAGAAATGTCTTTGTTTGAAATTTTTTTTAAGTGCACAGTAAAAGCATCATGTGATCTAACCTCACTATAATTCTCCCTTTTTTGGAGACCCAAGATTCAGAGTGGGCTCTGCCCAGAGCTCAGAGATTCAGTTAGAAGACAGGTAGTCCCTATCTGACTAAAACTGGCTTCCTTATACGATCACATGATAGGTTTCTATAACTATATTTGATTTGGCATTCATCCTTAATCTCCTTCTAGCACCATGAGACTTTTTCTCTCTGTACCTTGGAATGCAACTTTTGCTATCTGATTTTTCACCTAAGGCTTGTTTCTTTCAATATGTGGATGTAGGGCTATTTATCTGACAGCTGCCAAGGTGATAAAAGAGGTTATCAAGAGTTTGGAAATCTAATATAGGGGAAAAAAAGGTCTCATGAATTTATAAGATGTACCTCTGTCAGTATGCCTAATATGTCTATGTATTTATGTGTTGTGTACACACTGTCTCACTATTAAAATATATATTGAGCTCTAATTAATTGGCTTAAAGAAAAACACAAATCAAATACTTTATCAGAAAAAAAAGAAAGACTAGTCAAATGCTTATTCGAGTTTATGTGACTTATGTAAACTCTTTACAAGTAAACTAGCTTTAAAATTATTGGTAAAGTAATATTAGAAATGTCTTAAGAATTGCCAGCATGCGTTTTTGTTTGCATTTTTTTATCAAGCAGTTTCATAGGTATCCCTGCCAAATACTATAGTGTGTCAAAATTTGGCACAGGAGTTACAAAACTGTAAACCCAGCCCAAAAGAGAATGATATTTGCTTGTTTGACTTTTAATAAATGAGACATTGATATTGGCTTAATGAAAATAGTGAAATCTTGAATTATTTAGTAAAATAACCATAACTTCTAATACTGTGGGTTTAGGCAATTTAGTACCCCAGGCAGGAAGGGGGTTTGTTCTAGGAAAGGGGTGTTATCATTTTTGTTTCAAGCTGAACTATAAACTAAGTTCCTCTCAAAGTTAGCTTGGCTTATACACAGGGACAAACAAGAACAGCTTGGCAGTTAGAAGCAAGATGGAACCAGTTACGTCAGATCTTTTTCACTGTCTCAGTTATAATTTTACAATGGCACTTTCATAACTTTAAATTATAACTATTGCAGTTTTCAAATAACCCAGGTAAATGATTAAAATGAAATAATTAGGTAAATGTAATGGCTAAACACTTGAAAACAAATTTGTCATAATTTATAAACTAAAGTTATATTAAATTATAGATATTTCATTATTTAGGTATTTTTCCAATAAAATTATATTGTAGAAAAACATTCTTTCTAAAAGAAGTGTCCTTTTTGCAAAGATAAATAATTTTCGTCTAATTCAGAGCTTACCTAAGGTTACAATATAGAGAAGAGACAGGGAAATACTGGGTAGAAGAGGGCTGTTCCCTGGCAAAGGCCCCACCCTCAAGCCTGGAAACCTATGGCCCTAAATGAGAACAGGCATTCCTGTTTTTGCACCCAAAAGTTGACTTTTGGCTCACCATGCCCCCCTATCCTGTATCTGTAGAAACCCTAGACCTCAGGCTCCAGAGGAAGAAGAGGAGGTGAACAGAAGAGCAGAAGTACAGCAGAATGGCATGGCAGAGAGAAGAGAAGGAACATCTGAAAGCCAAGAGGAATTTGGCAGGGGACATTTAAAGAGGAGATTGGCCACTGGACAGCCAAACTCGGGAAGATTATCTTCCCAATCTATCCCCCTTCCAGTTCCCCATCCATCCCACTGAGTGCCACCTCCACCACTCAGTAAAACCTCTGCATTCATCTTTCAGGTCAGTGCATGATCTGATTTTTCCTAGATGCTGGACAAGAGCTCAGAATACAGAAAGCTGTCACACTGGCCCTCTACCCCTGCAAAAAGGCAGAGGGCCCACTGAGCTGTTTAACACTTAAGCTGTCCACAGATAGCAAAGCTAAAAAAGCACACTGTAACCCACACCCACTTGGGTTTGGGGAGTCACAGGCACTCACTCCCAGATGCCACTGTGGGGCCAGAGCCCCAAGCTGCTTGCCCTGGCTCCTGCACCTGCTCATCTGCATGCTCCTCCTCCCATAAAGGATTTGAGAGAGTGCAGCAGCTGAACAGATGAGCCACATCCCTGTCACAGATCCTGTGACGGGGGTGAGGGAACTCTCCTGTTTCAGTTACATACAAAACAAGAAAAAAGGAACCAGGAAACAAGAGAGATGTAAAGAAAGTTATGGAAATAAAGAGTTTTTTTGTAAGAAAGCTTAAAGAGAGATTTAATCTGAGAAAGAATCTTGTATGGCAAATTTTGTCCTAGAATAAAATGACTGGTTGTTTAAGAAAGATATATGTTCAGGACAATCTGGAAAGTCCAAGCATGTCATAAATGGTCTGTATCAGTTATAATAAGAGAATGTATTTAAAATAAACTTCTATATGGCCAAGTTGTCTATAATTAAAGGGAAATTATAGTGGTCTTTCTAGAAATTGGGTTTTGATTTTAAAAAATGTATACACTAAAGAATTGTTTCAAACTATGAAATTTCCTTAAGGTACTGCTTTACCCTTAATAAATTACAAGACATTATATTTTTTATGAAAAGTTCAACTCTTATTATGTCTCACTGTGTTTTCAGCTTTCTCTTCCCTTTTAAAAGGCCTGAAATAATAACTTTATCCTTCGACTTATTTTCACCTTCTGCAGGATTTCCCCCACCTTTGGGTTCTAACTTGTGGCCTGATGCTAAAACAACAGCAAAAACAACAAAACAAAACAAAACAGAAAACAAACAAAAACTTTTATCTTAAAGGTCCAAAGGAAATTTTCCTTCCAACATAATTCTCCCAAAAGGGAATAGCAGAACACTGCAGAAGGTCTTTCCTCTTGCCTTGGGTAACTGGCCTAATAAACAGATCTTACGCTTTATTGAAATAATTTCTTTTTTTTTTTTGAGACGGAGTTTTGCTTTTGTTACCCAGGCTGGAGTGCAATGGCACAATCTTGGCTTACCGCAACCTCCATCTCCTGGGTTTAAGCAATTCTCCTGCCTCAGCCTCCCGAGTAGCTGGGACTACAGGCATGAGCCACCATGCCCAGCTAATTTTTGTATTTTTAATAGAGATGGGGTTTCACCTTGTTGACCAGGATGGTCTCGATCTCTTGACCTTGGATCCACCCATCTCGGCCTCCCAAAGTGCTGGGATTATAGGTGTGAGCCACCCCACCTGGCCTTGAAATAATTTCTATATTATTATTTCTACATTTGAGTTGCTTAGAAAAAAAGGATTAAAAAATGTTTTTAAAATTAAGGATAACACATTCATGTTACTTTCCATATGTATGTTTTAAATCCTTGTGCCATTAAGTTATAGGGCTTTGACTGATGGGTGTAAAAGTACACCAAGTCCTGATAAACCATAATACTGGCAGCCACCAAGCCTCATCCTCAGACCCCATAGAAGATGCCAATCAAAGTAAATTGTGTTTGTGAGACACAGGGCCAGAAATTAAAGGTATTAACTCTTCAAGGCCCAGGGACTATCATGAAAGAGGTGGGCATATGAGACTGTAAGGGCTGATTTGGAGAGAGAAAAGAAGTTGCTTCTCTATAAATTAAACATTATTGTCAAAGACACACTGATGCAAGATTAGCATATGAGTCTCTGTGTCAGATTAGAAGAAGGTTTTCTTGAAGCCTTAACTAACTTCTTTTAATAAAGATTATAAAAAACTTACAGAAATTTTATCTTATGGCCAAGATGATTAAAATTTTATAGATTGTTTATAACATTTTGAAAAATAAATTTAATTGGCTCTGTGATTCTTCATTAGGGCTTATTGTTTGGAAAATTAAGCCTCTTCTCTCAAAGAATGGTTTTTATCTTTTTTTTTTTTGAGATGGAGTTTTGCTCTTGTCACCCAGGCTGGAGTGCAATGGTGCTCACTGTAACCTCTGACTCCCAGGTTCAAGTGATTCTCTGCCTCAGCCTCCCAGGTAGCTGGGACTACAGGTGTGCACTACCATGCCCATCTAATTTTGGTATTGTAGTAGATACAGGATTTCACCATGTTGATCAGGATGGTCTCAATCTCTTGACCTTGTGATCCACCCATGTTGGATGCTGGGATTATAGGTGTGAGCCACTGCACTAAGCTGGTTTTCACTTTTTTTGGAAATCCTTGAGTTATTACTTTGGTTAAATGAATGACTTATTTTACAATGACCTGTGATTCTATTTTCTAATATCAATTGTTTTAAACTTTTTATATTTGACAAACTTTCCAAAATCAAATTATACATTATGTCTTTTTCTGATCTAATTAATCCTTTACAATATTACATTCTGGGCCAGGCACGGTGGCTCATGCCTATAATCCCAGCATCCAAGGTGGGTGGATCACGAGTTCAAGAGATCGAGACCATCCTGGTCAACAAGGTGAAACCCCATCTCTACTAAAAATACAAAAATTAGCTGGGCATAGTGGTGCGCACCTGCAGTCCCAGCTACTTGGGAGGCTGAGGCAGGAGAATTGCTTGAACCTAGGAGGCGGAGGTTGCGGTGAGCTGAGATCGTGCCATTGCACTCCAGCCTGGGTAACAACAGCAAAACTCCATCTCAAAAAAAAAAAAGATATTACATTCTGTAAAGTGCAAAAATGACACATGTGGCTTATTTGATATAAAAATTATACAGGAAGCATTGTTGAGTATGAAATTTTGTTTGGCCTTCTTTGTACCTTATTTATTTATTTATTTTCACTCTTACCCAGGGTAAAGTGCAATTGTGTGATCTCCGCTCCCTGCAACCTCCACCTCCTGGAGAATCAAGTGATTCTTCTGTCTCAGCCTCCAAGTAGCTGGGATTACAGGCACTCACCACCACACCTGGCTAATTTTTGTATTTTTAGTAGAGATGGGGTTTCATCATGTTGGCCAGGCTGGTGTCAAACTCCTGACCTCAGGTGATCCACCTGGCTCTGCTTCCCAAAGTGCTGATGTTACAGGCCTGAGCCATCACACCTGGCCTCTTTTAGATCTTTAAGGAAATATTTTTAGCTTTAGGCCACAACAGTGAGAACCCAAGGAGAAAAAAAGACTTATATCAACTGAAAATGGGTTGAAGGAGAGAGTTATTACTTCATGCCTTTTAAAAAGGGAGAAAAAAACAAAAATGGTGAGATGCAATAAAAGTTGAACTTTGGGTTAAAAAAGACTCTTATAATTTATTAAGAGTAAATCAATCCCTTAAGAGAATTTTATTCTTTGAACCAATTCTTTAGGGTGTGTGTTTTTAAGCAAAACCCAAACTCTAGAATTACTATTTAAACAATTTTCCTTTGATTATAGACAATTTGATACAAATCATTTACTACATGCTTGGACTTCCAGTTCTATACTAGACATTTCTAGGATAAAAATGCCTGTTTTTATCCTAGAAAATTGTTTGTTTTTCCAAGGGCTAAGGAGGCACCCATGACAGAGCCTCAGGAAGTCCTGAGACATGTGCCCAAGGTGGTTGGGGGTACAGTTTGCTTATATACATTTTAGGGAGACATGAGATATCAAGCAATATGTGTAAAATGTACACTGGCTGAATTCACTAAGGGGTGACAATGAGAAGTGGGGGCTTGAAGTAGATAAGAGACAAAAGGTTACATTCTTAAATAACCAGTTGTTTTATTTCAGGACAAAATGTTACCATACAAGATTCTTTCTCATATAAGATTATTCTTCTTTTAACCTTTCTTGCCTGAAATATCTCTTTATAACTTTCTTCACATTGTTCTTATTCACTGATTACCTCTACCTAATTCATAATTCACTTTTACATAGCCTATGAATTAGACAAAATTATTTTTAAAAATAAGAACACATTTCTTTTTTTCAGAAAAATGTTTTGGTATAATTGAAAAAATTTGAAAATGACCTGGACATTTAATGAATATTTATTACTTAGCTTAATATAACTGTAGATTATAAATTATAGGACAAGATTATCTACAAGAATCTATTCCATTACATTTAACTAATTAATTACTTTTAAAAACAGTTTACCCAGGTTACTTATAAAAACTGTGATAGTTATCATTTAAAATTATTTCCTTTTTAGTCTTTTCCGTAATCTGTGAATTTCAGGCTTTTCTAAGTAATAACCTTTAAGGTTAGATAATTTGTGTGTGTCTGTGTGTGTGTGTGTGTGTGCGCGTGTGTGTGTGTGTGTTTGCAAATTACTCAGAGTTTAACTGTTTTCAGCCTTATTTTACCTAGCCCCTATTCAAAAAAAGTTGCTCTGGTTCAAACTCCTCCAACATTACCACCACTTATAGTGGGGATGAGAAATGCCTTACAAAGTGGTCCTCTGTTTTGAGGTCAACTGGAATGCTTTCAAAGCCCCATTCCAGGACAAATACATCAGTATCTCAGCAAGTTGAGCCCATGCAGTCCCCATTTATGAACCTCACACTCCTATGGGGGAAAAATTCCAGTGAACTACAGAAGCAGATTGTAGGATACAAGAGTTCTTCATGAGATACAGAGAACTGTGTCACATCCAGAGCTGTTACATTGAGAACTTTCCCTTCTAATACTTCCCCAGCTCTCCAATGCTGGGAGGTTGCAGGACCTTCATTGATTTCAGTGTTATAAAAACAATCACATTAGGTTCATGTGCTTTCTGATTCCTCCAGAAGCTACTGCTGAAGAGTGTGGGTGGGATCAGGTAAGACTTGGCAGGCTGGGGGTATCCAATGGCACCAAATGGCATCTGCAAAAGGGAGTGAGACCTGCATGTTCACCCTCATGGAGCATCCTCTCCTAGAATCATTGATGCCTGCAAGGACCACCCATCTTTAGCTGTCAACTCCCCCAGGATTCACACCCTGCACTGTGTACTTGCTGAACATATCAAGTTTTAAGAAACTGAGAAATGAAAGCACACTGAGCTTCGCCAAGTGCCAAGGATTTCCTTATGCTGGCTCATTTTACATAACCCTTGCTGCCTCTCCCTTGGTTGCTGCTCTAACGTTGGGTCTCCAAGTTGTTTTTCTTGATGAGATTTACTAACCTCTGCCTAGAATCTTTTCCTCAAAGCTCTCCTCCCTACTCTGTAGCTTATAGTCTAGGACAGGGTGAAGAGCTATGATTTTGTCATAGGCTTACTTACAGTAAAACTTCAATGGATCTACTCTTTCTATACAAGACAGATCAATGTGTCAATTTAGAAATGAGAATATGCAGCTCTGTGTAATAATCAAAACTTCACATGGACTTAAAATTAGGGCTTCTGTTGTCTTTCTCTCTTGAGACTTCCACTGATTCTTCTCAAGGTAATTAATTATGGTTTCTGACCTCTTCAGTATTGGAAAATGGGAGAGAGAAAAAAATAAGGGCATGAGAAAGATCTTAACTGGCACAAACTCTTCTGTGATTGGGTTTTGTCAGGTCTCCATACACAAGCCTGGAGCCTGAAAGTCTGAAGTCCTGCTTGCCTTGGATGATGTCTCCCACCCTCTGCCTGTGTTCTCCATTGTTCCTGGTCACCCAGCGGAGCTTCTGGGACAAGCCCCTCACCCAACCCTGCCATCTTAACTGTTCTTATGATAATGTGAATACCTCTCACCCAGCCCTGCCATTGTAACTGAACTTGTGGTCGTGTATACTCCTTGCCCCACCCCCCACCACTGTAACTGAACTTACTCTGCAAGACCCCCACCCCCCAAAACTACCCAAATCTATAAAACCATCTCCTATCCCAGTGCCCTTTGCTAATGCCCTTTTCAGCCTTAGCCCACCTGCACCCAGGTGAAAAAACAGCCATGTTGCTCACACAAAGCCTGTTTGGAAGGTCCATTCATTCAAAGCAAGCATTTTTCAACAGGTTTTCTGGGCCTTACAGATGCTTCCTCTCCTGGGATGCTCCCATGGATCTCAGGTAGTTCCCTTGTTTCTGAAACACTGAAACAAGCTGAAGGTGCAATGGGACAATACTGTGGGGAAGAGAAGAGGCAGAGAACTGATATTCTTTGTTACAAACCATTTTACCCTATTTTCTATTCATAGTATACCTGTATGACATTAAGAAATAAAAATGTTAAAGAAAGGTAAGTTGAAAAAAAATGAAAAAGAGGGCAGCATAGAAGAAATACTGTGAAAAGTTGGTCAAGGGTAATTTACTGAAAAGCAGCTAACATGCTGTAAGTTATCTCAGGTCAACTTAGAACCCCATCAAATACCTAGGAGGAATTTAATATAGCTTATTGAAAAAATAATAAATTTTCTTAAATACTTAAGTACACGTTGAACAGTGATGTATACATCACCAAAGGACTGAAGCAGAGATGAAGTGTATCCCAGAGAACAATGTTTCATCATGGAAAGCAAATCCTTTAGAAATTCAAAGAACAATGTTCTCCTGAGATGCAAACGCTCTGGGAAGGAAGGTTTGTGAAGGAGGTGATCACTGAGCAACTTCACACGAACCCAGAGGATGAAGAACACAGAGAGGTGGAAGTTAGGTCCTCCTGGTGGGCAAAGGCATGGAAGTGAGATGTGGTCCAGCCCATTGGAGGGAAGAGGTGTCCATGGTGGAAGTTAGGTCCTCCTGGTGGGCAAAGCAGCCTGGGCAAAGGCATGGAAGTGAGATGCGGTCCAGCCCATTGGAGGGAAGAGGTGTCCATGGTGGAAGTTAGGTCCTCCTGGTGGGCAAAGGCATGGAAGTGAGATGCGGTCCAGCCCATTGGAGGGAAGAGGTGTCCATGGTGGAAGTTAGGTCCTCCTGGTGGGCAAAGGCATGGAAGTGAGATGCGGTCCAGCCCATTGGAGGGAAGAGGTGTCCATGGTGGAAGTTAGGTCCTCCTGGTGGGCAAAGGCATGGAAGTGAGATGCGGTCCAGCCCATTGGAGGGAAGAGGTGTCCATGGTGGAAGTTAGGTCCTCCTGGTGGGCAAAGGCATGGAAGTGAGATGCGGTCCAGCCCATTGGAGGGAAGAGGTGTCCATGGTGGAAGTTAGGTCCTCCTGGTGGGCAAAGGCATGGAAGTGAGATGCGGTCCAGCCCATTGGAGGGAAGAGGTGTCCATGGTGGAAGTTAGGTCCTCCTGGTGGGCAAAGCAGCCTGGGCAAAGGCATGGAAGTGAGATGGGGTCCAGCCCATTGGAGGGAAGAGGTGTCCATGGTGGAAGTTAGGTCCTCCTGGTGGGCAAAGCAGCCTGGGCAAAGGCATGGAAGTGAGATGTGGTCCAGCCCATTGGAGGGAAGAGGTGTCCATGGTGGAAGTTAGGTCCTCCTGGTGGGCAAAGCAGCCTGGGCAAAGGCATGGAAGTGAGATGCGGTCCAGCCCATTGGAGGGAAGAGGTGTCCATGGTGGAAGTTAGGTCCTCCTGGTGGGCAAAGCAGCCTGGGCAAAGGCATGGAAGTGAGATGCGGTCCAGCCCATTGGAGGGAAGAGGTGTCCATGGTGGAAGTTAGGTCCTCCTGGTGGGCAAAGCAGCCTGGGCAAAGGCATGGAAGTGAGATGCGGTCCAGCCCATTGGAGGGAAGAGGTGTCCATGGTGGAAGTTAGGTCCTCCTGGTGGGCAAAGGCATGGAAGTGAGATGCGGTCCAGCCCATTGGAGGGAAGAGGTGTCCATGGTGGAAGTTAGGTCCTCCTGGTGGGCAAAGGCATGGAAGTGAGATGCGGTCCAGCCCATTGGAGGGAAGAGGTGTCCATGGTGGAAGTTAGGTCCTCCTGGTGGGCAAAGGCATGGAAGTGAGATGCGGTCCAGCCCATTGGAGGGAAGAGGTGTCCATGGTGGAAGTTAGGTCCTCCTGGTGGGCAAAGCAGCCTGGGCAAAGGCATGGAAGTGAGATGCAGTCTAGCCCATTGGAGGGAAGAGGTGTCCATGTACCTCTTGGCCTCTTCTTGTACATGGGACTGCATCTCTGTGCCCTGACTGTGAGGCACTGCTGGTGTTTCATGAACAGGACAAAGGCTCTGCAGTATTTCTGTACACATGGCTTCTCAACTTTGGCACCACTGATATTTCTGGTTAAGTATTTCTTTGCTGTGGACAGCTGTCCTGAACATTATAGGATGTTCAGCAGGACTTAGTAGGACATTTAATTCCTGGCCTCTGCTACTTGATTCAAATGGCACACTCACTCCATCCAGTTGGGACAACCAATACCCAGTCTAGTCATTACCAAATGTTCCTGGGGTCTGAGGGAAAGGCAAAGCTACTCCTACTAAGAACCACTGATCTCAAGATTGGGATACTTTATTTAAGTCTCCCCCATTTGCCTCGTGGAACATCCTTCAGTGAACCTGAGACTCACAGCAGGGGGCCGACTACAGTTATCAAGAAAATGTTAGCCTTGAAGTGGAGGTAACATCACAATCTCTGGCAAAGACACTGGTGAAGGCATCTCATTAACCAAGGCAAATGTTTCTAGCCGTATGTGTATCAACATTTTCAACCACACACTTTCTGAGGACATGGAAAGTTGTATGATTCGGTGATGGAGCCTAAAAGCACTCACCAAGGGCTGACACCCGACTCTGGTGCTGCTTCCAGATCTGGCTCCTAGTCCCATCTCACTAGATAGATCCTAGTTGGTGGTATCATGGTAGCAGTCCCTTTTAGGGAAAAGGGACACTGAGGGGGCCCAGGGCCTGGTTGGCAGGGTATCCAGTTACCTCTTCTCTTTACCTGCCTCCTTTCTTCCTGACACCAACATCAGCTTCCAGGAAAGTGCAAATTGTGTTGTATTATCCCCAAAGTCACACTGCCATCTGATGCTGGTTTTACTTCTGATGTCTGTTTTTAGTGAAACTTTAATTTTGAATTATTTCATGTTTCCAGATAGACCTAATAATGCATGTAATGCAATCAGCAAATTCTTTGTGAAAAGGCCAAAATCTGCTCTTGAAAATCAATTACACAATAATAAGCAAAATAAATAGTTTTCACAACTATAATACCAACATGAAGTGCACATGCCATGGGTTCAGCACTGACAGGGAGAAAGATTCAGCATGAGGGTCCTGGAGATGTCAGGACGGAGCTGTTTATGGAGAGCCCTGGAGTCCTGCAAAGTGGGAGATCTTTGTAGACTCAGGGCCTGGGAAAGAGGGATGAATGCGTACCATCTTTGATGTGACTTTGGGAATGAATGAAATGGTTTCAACCAGGAGTGACTGAGGCAAGGGGAGTGGAGGAGGGGATTCCACAGGGAGCGAAGGTCTCAAGCAGAAAACAGTGGGGTTTGTGCAGAAGTCAACCCAGAGTTGAGGGCAGCAGTGGGAATCGAGGCCATCAGGACTCACCTGAGCCATGATGTGCAGGTCTCTCAGGGTCCAGCCAAGGGAAAAATAGTGTTGAATGAAGCTCGTGTAGCCAGAACACCTGGCTTCATAATTCTGCCACTTCCTAGCTGTATTCTCTCAGGTCAGTTTCTGAACCTCTCCAACTCCCATTTCTGCTAGATGGGGTGAAATGACATGTCCCGCCTATGGGGAGGTGACAACTAACGCTAATTTGCCTAAAACAGTCCTGGGTTATGTAACTGTCCTGGCATCCCACTGATTTTCTCTTCTTTTCACCCACCAAAGTGTCCAAGTTTGGGTCACAAATTGCATGGTCACTCTACTGCTAGATTTGCTGCTGGGAAGGTTGTCACAGGATTCAACATTGCCTTTCAAACAGTAAAGTGCTCTGTAATCATTTGCGATTCTTCCTTTATTGAACATTGAAAAATGAGTTTAAACACAATTGCAGTTAGGTTCTGGGACGATTCATTGGACAACGGTACATAGGGTCTGTTGAGGAGAGAATCTGTATACCAATTAGAGCTCAGTAAAACTCTTTAAAATGGACGGAGAGAAAAGATATCTAAGCATGGATCAAAGCACTGTCTTATTTTCCAACTTAAAAGTTTAACCTGAGTCTAGATATGGTTATCACAATGTATTTTAGAGAATGTTAAGAGCAGCCTTGCTTTCCAGTGTTCTACGATGAGCCTAGTAGGACTTGGAGTTGAATCATGAAAACGATTCTTAATGAGATGAAAAAGAAGATGAGCAGCTGACATTTAGACAGCACCAACTCTGCACAAGGTACTGTTCCCAGGATATTACAATTTTTACTTATGAGTCACAATAATTCTATGACTGTTTCAATTTTAAAGGGGACACAGAGCATTAAGCATCTTGTCTAATGTGGCACCATCAGCAAATGGAGGCACTGGGATGTGAACACAGGTGGTCAGTCTGGCTTGGGTCTTCACTCAGGAGCCATCAACCATGGGCCTTTGAAGGGAAGGGGCTGCGAAACTCAGCACAGCTGCAGCTTCCAAGGCCGGCCATTCTAGGCTTTCCTGTGTAAGTGTAGAAATCATGGAGAGAAGGCTGGTGGCAGTGGCTCACGCTTGTAGTCCCAGCACTTTGGAGGCTGAGGCAGGTGGATCGCCTGAGGTCAGGAGTTTGATACCAGCCTGGCCAACATGGTGAAACCTTGTCTTTAAAAAATAAAATAAAATAAAATAAATTACAGAAAGAAGATGGCTCCCATACAATGTTACTATTTATTATTCAGTATGGTAAAGACTTTTATTTGCCAAAACCCCTAATGTCTCTATATCTCAGGTCTTTTGTGAGCCTGAGGCTAGGGCAAATGTCTATCTCTTTCTTAAGGCATACTTTGTTTTCCCCCTCCCAAGACACAAGCTCATTCTGGATAGAATATGTGGAATGACTTATCGCTTTGTCATAGTAGGAGCTCAGTAAACACTGAAATGATTGGTGATTAAATACTTTTTGAAATTGTGAAAGTGTCTGTGTCCAGCTCCAGGCTGTGAGGTATGAGCAGGGACAATGAATAAACTCTTTTCTACTCTGACCTCCTGCTGGGATAGTTTGGAGATAATGCTCAAAAGATGATGGACAAGTTAATTACATCCCTGATCCAGCCCAGGCTGGAGTGCAGTGGCACAATCTCAGCTCACTGCAACCTCCACTCCCTGGTTCAAGCAATTCCCCTGTCTCAGCTGCCTGAGTAGCTGGGATTACAGGCACACACCAGATGCCCAGCCAATTTTTTTTTTTGTATTTTTAATAGAGACAGGGTTTCACCATGTTGGCCAGACTGGTGTCGAACTCCTGACCTTAGGCAATCCTCCTGCCTCAGCCTCCCGAAGTGCTTGGATTACAGGTGTGAGCCACCACGCCTGGCTAAAAGTTTCAATTTTTAAAATAGGAATTACCTTA